GGAGTGTAATTATATTATTGGGCGACAATTTAAAAAATTATGAACCTTTAAATTTCCACTGTCGTTCCTAAATCTCAGAAACGGAGGTAGATAAAAGAAAGACGAAACTAGATGCGGAAACCTTCAGTGCAGGACACCTCGACTATATGATCATCCAATAGAAATCAGAAGTGATGTTTTTTCACTTCAAAAATATTTTCCTTTAAAGATGTAAGTTAAATGACTGGCACGACTCTATTCTTAAAGTGAAAGTATGATGTATATGGAAAAGCCACTACTGATTTGAGGTTGAAAACATATATTTTAAATTAAAAGAATTAAAAACATGATCATAAATTGCAGATTGGTTTTGTGAAGATATCATAATAAATAAATGCTCGTTTTATTACAACATTTGTTAATGAATTTTAGCCAGAGTATTAATAATAAACTTTGACAAATAATATGTTTAAATGTTTTGTTACATATTTTATCCTAACAACAATTTCATATTTGAATAAATTCAATTAAAATAATTTTTGAATTGAAATTCTATTAATTATTGATTTTTTAACATTTATATTAAATAAATAACGCTAAGCACGAAAAGACAGCTTAAAAATATTTTTTCAGTCAATTCTACTTAAAAGAAATAAGTGTAAATAAACTTACTATTACCACACAAACAATAAGTAAGGGTAATATTGCAGTTTCAATTCATATTCTCTTAAAATTTGATTTGTTGCTCCAGGAAAATGTTTTCAAAAGTAAAGATAATAGATAAATAATTAAGTTCATCTCTGGCTCAATCTGGATTATCGTGCTTAAGACTCATTAATATCGACTGAGCTAGAATTTCGTGATTACAAGAAATTAATATTGACCAGCAGTTTCTTCCTTGTTTATGTGATTAGAATGCCAAGCTAATATTGTCTATTTAAAAAAAAAATTGCATCAATTAAAAGTGAAGCTGATTTAGCCTAATTTGCCTAATGCTATAATAAATTAAGCATCATTGGACAAATATAACTTTGGTTGATTTTTCTTAGTTAACAGTATTCATTCAATAATTGTGTATTTTTTTTTACTTTTAGTAATTATGCAAAAGCGATCTCCTATATATATAAATTAGGATGTTTGTTTGTTTATTTGTTTGTTTACTATCCATGCCTAGGCCATTTAACCAATTGCTACGAATTTCGACAGTAACGTTTAAATACTTCTACAACCCAGTATTGTAATGTACTGTACTTGGATCATGTCGTACAGTACATTACAATACTGGGTTGTTACTGTGTAATTACATTCTTTATACGTTAATTCACTTATCTGAATTTTCGATTATCCGAATCACCTGTAAAACGAATCAATACGGATAATCGGAGTTCTACTTTATATATATTTATTACAGTGTTAGAAAATTATGAACGTAGAATTAAAGGGAGAAGGTAATGCAACAAACAAGAGAGAGTGCTTTCTGAGAGAAATTTTATGTAACATTGGCCCCTATTCAGGTATTAATACTTGACAAATGAAAACCCAGATAACTCGTGCTGATCACGTCAATGAGGCACGAACCACGACCAACTAAATTTTTGTGTTTAGTAGTTTCATCCAATCTGCCACTGGCGAGCCCATTGGTTCAAGAGACATTTCGAAGAAAGTACTTAAAAAATGAACTTTTTATTCCTAAACCAATAAAATGATTGTAAAATTAATAGCGTAAAACAACAGAACACGTGGGCGATCTGATAAAAGAAGTATATCTCGCCTAAACTTTCTATGAGAAACTGTTCGTATTTAAGCATTAAAAACATGGAAACACTTGGTAAACCACAGATGCCAACTCATTGGTGCCTTCAGAAGCAAACTTATGACCATAGTTTTATTCACTCATATTGTTCTAAACAAAGACCATTTGAAAGATTGAAAGCAGTAACACCGAACCTCAATACAAACGAGACGTTTGTATTGAGCTCAACGAAGGCTATATTGAAACATGTTTCTACAGATTAGAAAAAAACTTTCTGAGATTTTATTCAAATAGATTTTTATTTTGTAAAAAATTTATTTATGATTTTGATGGCACAGTGCATCAATTCTTAAAATAATTTTCACTATAATACAAAAGCATAGTCAGGATTTTCTCCAACAGCAAAAATAAAATAACGTTATTTGTTAAAAAATGGTTTTATTTGAACATTTGAAAACGCTAAAAGTAATTAGTTGCAATGTTATTCAAACCTATCTAAACTAGCCTATGGGAGTTCTGGCTAAATCCTGTCAAAATTTCTTTCTGAAATTTATTTTTAGTTTCCAGAACCCTCTTTTTATGCACAATCATCATACAATGACCTACAAGCTGATCTTCGGTCATTGTTGACCATATCCAACCTTTTACCCTGCATAAGGTGCTGAAGGCTCTTTTCATGGTGCACGTTGTGCAGGGCTGTGCAAGTAAGATAAGTAGCGCCCATTATATCGATGGGTAAAACAATTGCGTTTCTTTAACTAGTGCAGCTAGTTCTATCTCCTTCAATTCGGCATTTTTTCCTCTCCATTGGTTATACCAAAGTTTAGCTTCACCGAGGAAATAATTCAAATTGTAGTCACTGCAAAAAATTATAGTTTTTTTTAAAATCCTGATACGTCATGTCAAGCATTGCGTAAGTGCGCAACGTAACCAATGAGATGCGGGCAAGTTCTCATCAGAAAAACGCTGTTCTACTGACATTATTAATGAATCTATGGATAGAATAATTAGTGATCTTCTCCAAAACTCACTGCGAGACTGTACTGGTGGATTCACGCGATGTTTCTGATGATTTATGATTTCAATATGACTCGCGGCATATTGAAATGATTCCAAGCTGTTCAGCCTCTGCAATAACACTTTGACTTTCAATAACCGCATTTCCGCAGTGTTTTCTCATGATGTCGGTGTTTTTTTTTTTTTTGTTTTTTCTTGTGATTTGCACATTGAAGTAAGTCCACACATTTTTCATTAATGGTCTTTTAAGAGTTGCCAGATGCAAGTGAAGCATCGGTTTCGAGGCAGCTAATGCCATATATGATTGCCTGTTTTTACCAACTATGTCATATGCATCTGCTGTTTGGAGCGCTGCTGTTTCCCAATCTCATAACCATTGGCGTCTGAGATCTGCACAACGGATTGCCTTATTACGACTTACCAGGTGCTATTTCACTGTTTCAAATGCAGTCCTCCCTGTGGTGGCTGGAAAGCTCCCCATCCTCCAATTTTTCCAATTTAATAGCAAACGTTTCTGTATCTCTAGAGGCAGGAATGTTGATATTAATGGAACCATATTTAACGCCACCGTGTTTGAATTAGACAGGTCTCTATCTACACTCCCACATCCTGCCTCTAGGAAGGGAGTCTCTCATCGTTTTACCTCTACGGAGATTGAAGCTTTTACAGATGGATCCAAGTCAACGGACAGCACAGCTAGTGCCTTTGTGATCTTTCATGCCGATGAAGACGTTTACAATGAATTTTTTGCTCTACACCCGGAATGCTCTGTCTTCCAAGCTGAGATCTTCGCTGTATTGATGACAAACAACTGGTGCAACTCTAACGTTGTGAACAAACTGATAAACATATTCACAGACAGTGCTGCGACTGTTGTTGCTTTGGGGTATAAGGATAATACTCACCCTATTGCGAACGACATCTTCGCTGCAGCTTCTACGTCTTTTAACAAGTATGCCATCAATTGGATCAAAGGACACAGCGACATTCCGGGTAATGAACGAGCTGACTTTTTGACGCCAAACGTAACGACTAATCCTTATACTCCTCCTGCCTACAATCTCATTCCTAAGTTAAGACTTCAATACCTTATCTGTGACAATGCTTTGAAAACCTGGCAACTGCATTGGGACAAGATCCCACAACAAAACATAACAAAACGTTTTATCTCAAAGGTCAAGGAACGCATTCACAGCAAATGAATTCAACCCATACATGATTTAACCCAGTTTTTGACAGAACACGGGCACTTTCGTGTTTACCTGAAAAGGTTTCACTACTCTAATTTTGACTGCTGGCAGCTGTGTGGGGTGTGGGACGGTGTCATGCACTATTTATACAACTGTCCTACGCTGGATGACATCAGGTATCAGTGCATGCAGCATGCGAATATGAACAATATAGACTGGCCACTAAAGACTGATTTTTTGTTTCAAAATAACAGCAACTTTAACTTGTTAAAGTAATTTGTTTCACTCTACTCTATTAGATGTGGGATCCGTTGACCCGGTCTCTTGTGACCTGATTCACTCTAGCCTTGATGCCAATGTATATACACGCCTAGCTCTGCTATAACAGCATGTAGACTTTGATGTATAGCAATGTTGCTTTACTTATAGTGTACTTTTATTTTTATTCTTTTATTTTAAGTGTTTTTATCTGTAAATATTGCATTGTATATTACTAAATGTAATCAATTTGTTCGTATTTCCGCGATCTCACCACATGTAATTTTCTTTCACCATTGTATTCTATATTATATGTAACCAATTTTTACAACTCTGTATTCCAGACCTGATTTTGCCCAGCGGTACCAGGTCATGTACAAATGTGCAATGTACAGTACGTTTAAATAAAATCTGAATATTTGAATATTTGCCTAACTTTATTAATATTTCAATTAAATTTATTACAGTTTTTCTAAAAAACCTTTCATTATTTTATTTAATAAATGTAGTGAAAAAGCAGTTTAATGCAAGTAGTCAACAGTCTCCAGTTTTAAGACTTTCCTTCACGCTGTTATTGTAATCGAGCACTTTAATTTACAGCACATTCAATGTTTTCTGTTCAACAATTTAATAAAATTCATTTTATTTAATTTATAGGACATAAATTTCTAGAAATATTTAGAAAATAAGTTATGGAATTACTTTGGAACGGAGATCTCAATGTACGGTATATATTTTTTTTCCTGTACAAATTTCAAAATTAGGAAGAAATAATTTATGCCGCGTTTTTTTTTTTTTGTCTTTTTAAGCTAAAAGATAGGCGGAATACGCGAATTTGACAGAACAATTGCCAAATTTTACATTGTTGTTGACCATTATTAATTTGTCATTGGTTCGAAATTTATAAACTAAATTTTAAAATTTAAATTATTAATTCTTTAAATGGAATCAGAAAATGTTAGTAAAACTTACAATTTGTTCTGTAATACATTACTTATTTCAGGAAACATCTGTTATTCGAAACTGTAGAAAATAAAAAGTTTGAAATTATAATTTTATCGAAATATATTTATATATATTAGTTTTATGCTTTTATATAACTAGAAAATATTTCTAAAAAATAGTGACAAATGTAATAATTTATAATAAGTAATACAACGAATATTTAATTTGAAAAAATGGAAAAGGTGTGAATAAAGTATATCTAAAAATTTTGCGTTCCTTAATGGCGCATTGATCGGTTGCCAACTTTATCTAAATGATAGATAGCGCTTATCGTCTAAATGGGTGTACTGTACATGTAAAATAATAAGTAAAACTTGTTAAAATTTGGAAAATTTTCAGAAATAAGAAGAGTAAAAAACATAAGCACAATAAAATAAATTAGAGTAACGCTTATACAGTGTGTATATTTATAAGAGAAATAATTGAATATTAAAAATTATTTAAATGTTATATTGTTGCATTGATTTTTATTCATCTTAGGATATTTTCTTTAAAATCACAAAAATATGGTTACACATATTTTTATAATTTTCTTTAAAATGTTCGTAGTAAAAACAATATGTTGGTATATTAATTACGTAAATTCATTGTAAAAATTAGTTAAGTTATGCGAAAAATTAATTATTTTTTAAATTAATTCACTTCTTCATATTTATTTGTTTACAATCCTTTGAACAGAATAGTCAGAAATCACCTTCACATCCCACTGATCAAATATCAGCTGCAGCATCAACTAAAAAAGATGATGATAATTCACAAAATGGTCAACATATACAATCATCTGAAAAAGTACTTGGATGTGATTTCTGCACTTCCTGGAGACAGAATTTGTCTATGCATAAACATCATCATCCCGATGAAAACAAATCGAAGGTAATCGCATTTATTTATCACGCTACTTCATAAATTGAACATTACAACGAAATATTCGTATTTAATGTAACAAATACTTCTTTGCGTTATTTATACGTTATATCAAATAGAAGAAAAATTGTATGTAATATGATTTTTAGTGTATTATTATAATTCTTATTTCCAATTATAGACAGCTTGCAAACCTTTATGTTATAATTAGTAAAAATATCGATACCGAAAACATAAATCTATATTATGTGAGATTGGAATTCGTAAGACTCCGCTCACCTTGCACAGGATGGCTATAATTGTTTATATTTAAAGAAGGTCGTGATATCTCTGTCTAATTCACTAGCCTAACACAGTTAGAATAATTATTTTACTTCGCGATAAAAGGAGTAATTTACACATGATCCCAGTTGTTAGTCAGAGTGGTTAGAATGGAATTTCAAATTCGAAGAAAGGAAGTAGGTTCAATTACTAAATTATATATGACTATATTTATATAAGAGGAATTGCAAAAAGATTATATATCTATAAATTGCATCCACAAATAAACGATAAAATATAATATCTTTATAATATTATAGAAGCTAATCTAAATATACGCATCTACATAGACGATCCTCAAATGAAACTATTCGTAATGAGAGAGCTTATATTATTAATTATACTTGGCTATGGAGGTAGTGAGAGAACCTGTGCTTAACCGACATTTTTTTCACTCTTTTCACAATAACGTCCGTTCCCGAGTTAACTCGGGCAGGTTACGTAGCGTTACATAAAACTCGGTCCTTAAGGCCACTTTTGACAAAAAAATTTCAATTTTGGAATGTTTTTTAGGTCCCGAAATTTTTTGGCCGCGCGAAAAAATTTTATTACGATTTTAATGAGCCTTTGATATGGCTCGATTAAGGCTTAATTGTTTTTTAATGGGAGTTTTTTATCAATTTTATTTCATGGTTCCTAAGTTATAGTGCACGGATTTTCCTTCGTTAAAGTTATTTAAAGCTAGTTTCTGATGTCAAAAACGAACTCCAAAAGTTTTTAAATTTTTTTAATTAATATATTTTATTTTATATAAATTTAATTAATTAGGGGAGGGTCAAAAATCGCAATTAAAATTTTAATTTTTTAAAAATATTTAAAAATATAGGAATAATTCGCATTTACCCTACTTTAAACCCTTGTCCTACCCAGACGTCTATGAGAATGCTTCGGGAAATCCAACTCCAG